ACACCTTCCATACCCCGGTTCCCCCCAGCCCTCATCCAGCCTAGCCTTGGACACTCCCAGGGATGGGGCATCCACAGCTTCCCTGAGCAACATGTTCTAGTGCCTCCCTACCCCCTCTGTGAAGAATTTCTTCCCAACATCTAACAATAATATCCATAAACGTCTCACTTTCTCTTGAGCAGGATAGTTTCTGAGCTTTATGCAAAGTCTCAATGGAGGAGACTTTTTTGATTCCACACTGCATTTTCCCATATAGAAAATCTATGGCTGTTAATACTGAGAACAACTGTCTTTCCTGGTGCTGTTTTCACCATCATGTCTTGTACACTTCTGTTTATTGCCTGCCAGGGTCCTATTTAAATTTGTAAAGACCCATGCTAAAGCAGTGTTTTCTTTCTTAGCACCAACAACACTTTTCTTCAGGCATTTCTTGCTATTCTTAAATATGGAAAAAATTGATCTCCACACCAGTTTCTTTTGGATTGCTTAATATGAAAGTTCTATAGTCACTTCAGGTATGCAATATTAAGGACCCTGTGTTTGTTAGAAGTACCATGATTCCTAAACACCTCTGTATTTTAATATGACATGTCTGGCCACTGGACCTGTTACGCTGTGCCTCACTGCCCTCCCAGGCATGGCTGATGGTCTGTTTGTTGGGCCAAGGTGCTCTTCTGCTTAACCATTTGAGCTGTGTACTTGACATTACTGGTAGGTGAATGGTCCATGGGAGATCCCCGAGAGATTGCTGTGTAATGCTGTGCATAGACATCTGTATGTGTCAGCTGTAGTATGTGTGTCTGATAGTCCCTTTATTGTAAGCAATAGCTAGCTTCTCTCCCTTGCAGACGAGAAGTTCACTCTAGGATTGCTGTAAGCCAAGGTTTCAGGCACAACATCACGCCAGCCCACTCTTACTCTCTGGTGGTAACAGCAGCAAATGTGCAACAGCTTCTTCCTCCAGTTAACTATCCAGATATGGCCTGACCAGCTCTTGGGTGTGGATGTATGCAGATATCCAGCACTCTGAAACGAAGCGGCCAGGGCATGAACGCGCCTTGTTAGTGCTTAACTAACACAGGAGACTGAAGTGTGGCGGTTAAGGACCGGCTGCAGCTCGGACTCTGCTGCATATGATCTGTCCTGCTCTGGGGACAACAACCTCTGATGGGCAGGCACAGAAAGCGTGTACTAGCTCTGAAGCTGCTCCAGCTAAACGTGATGGAGACTGTCTGTCAGAGCTAGAAAGTGCCTAACATATGGATTTGGGAGGTGCTATCCTCACGTTTTGTTGGGGTTACGTGTGTACTTGAATTGCTCATTAAACCAAAGTCAACTTGATCAGATTTTTTTCCCAAATAATAAAAAATCTGATGAGTCATTGTCTTATCACAAAACAATTAGGGCTTGGCAAAGGTACATTAATTATAATAAATTGGACAGTAAGGAAGCCATAGCAGCAGGTAGTACATTTAGATGAGGTTAGAGCTGTATCACCTTCCATATAGCAGTAAAATCTCGACAACTGACACACTTGATGAGGCTTGATGTCTTAGGTTTCTCATCTTTGGTGTTGTTTTAAACCTTCCAAACTACTCATTTCATAAATCAAAGTAAGTGTCTTGTATTTGTATGGGTAATTCAATTTTTATTGAATTCACGCTCTTAGTTCTGGCGAGAAAGCAGGCAGTCTCCCTCCCTGCCTGCAGCTTTGTCTGGGAACTTGGTGTTCTCCAGTGTCATGGTACTGAAGTAGGGTTACTGTGTAATAACTGAAGCATTTGTCTTTTCGATACCCCCAAGTAGAAGACATTAAAGGTGAGCAACTCTGGTATAGAGGGCAGAGCGGAAAGGAAGGTCCTTAGAAGTATTTAGGTCCCAAATGTGAGCTGCTGACAGCTGAAGGACATGTAGTGACAGGACAAGGGGTAATGGGTTTAAACTGGAAGCAGGGAGATTTAGGTTGGACATTAGGAAGAAGTTCTTCCCAGGGACGGTGGGGAGGCATTAGGACAGGTTGCCCAGAGAAGCTGTGGATGCCCCATCCCTGGGAGTGTCCAAGGCCAGGCTGGATGAGGCTTGGAGCAACCTGGTCTAGTGGAAGGTTTCCCATCCCCATGGCAGGGGGGTTGGAACTGGATGATCTTTAAGGTCCCTTCCAACCCAAACCAATCTGTGATTATGTGAAGTCAGTTGCCGGAAGCTCAGGGAGAGTTTGGAGCTAGGTGGCCTCTGCTCACACGCAGCATCTGCACGAAATAGGGTATGGTGTCAGTTTTTGGCATGTGCTGCATGGCAGCATGCCTATGGTGCCTTCTGGAAACTGAGTGGCTGTTGTGTTGCTGGTTTGCAGGTTACTGCTGGAGCTGCTGGAGCTTCTCTTTGACAAATTCAATGCCGTAGCTGCTGCACACTCTGTCGTCCTTGGACACCTTCAGCAAACAGTGGCCTCGCCTTGCAGCCAGTACGATGGTGATATCAAGCTCTACGACATGGTTGATGTGTGGGTGAAGATCCAAGATGTCTTGCAGGTAAGAATCCTTGGGGTGGGCACATTTCAAGCTTGGAACAGTTTTATAACCCAAATACCTGCCATGCTCAGCAGACAGGTGTGCTGGAATTTGACTCGAATTTTGGTAAGTGGCCACATTTATAACAGGCTGTTAAACTCCAGAGAGCTTAAGTATCAGTAAAAAAAGTCTGTGGGTTCATCCTTATGGTGTATGGAAAGGTTGATTCCTTTTGCCTACCAAGGGATTTATCAGAAGCTTTCAAACAGTGACATTTTTGTTCTGTGTTACCATGTCATGCCTGTCTTCTAAAGTGTCACAGCTCTAATCGCTTGTCTTCTCTTGTCATTACGGCTTGGTTATAGTCAGCTGAGACACTTGCTGCCAGCATGTTTTCAGGGAATTCTTATTTGATTCTTACTCTTAACTGCAGCAAACTAAAGCCATACCTCTTGCAGTCTTTATTGTGGTACCATTCCTATCACTTCAGTATCTGAGACTTGCAAACAGAGAGCTATCATCTGCCACATGTCTGTTCTGTTATTCTTGCCGTGAGGCTAACACGTGCACATCAGTGGTTTATTTATTTATTTTGGAATTGCCATTATATATAGTACACAGATGTACACCTTACCTGGTTTTTGATAGAGGAGGTCAAAGGAATGAGTCTGGCATTGTTTACAAGAGGTGGCAAGATTTATGATGGTCATTCCCCCTCTGGCCTGTTCAGGAAAAATACTCTCTGCCTCCTACTTTGCCACAGTTTTTCATTGTGGGGCACAGGTCTATTTAGCTGTTGCTCTAAAGGCTTATTTGACTGTGAAGTGATGCACACGGTGGTGGTGGTTTTGGTTTATTTTTGGCTTACATAAATACAGCCAACTGTGTGAATTTAGATGCTTCTTGGCCATGTTAAGTGTAAAGTATGGGCCCTTGGTCATGTCTCCTTACCCACTTCATTGTCTTTCTAGAGGAGTTAGTGTTTTCATTAAAGAAATCTTGATCAGTTATCTTAATGAGAGGGTGGAGAGACACTGGGACAGGTTGCCCAGAGAAGCTGTGGATGCCCCATCCCTGGGAGTGTCCAAGGCCAGGCTGGATGAGGCTTTGAGCAACCTGGTCTATGGAAGGTGTCCCTGCCCATGCAGAGGGATTGGAACTGGATGGTCTTCAGGGTCTCTTCCAACCCAAACCCTTCTGTGATGTTATGATTCAAATTTTCATCTCTCTTCAGTTGTGACAGTTTGATAGGAAATGTCCAGCCAGAGGTTATTGATGGGTTTTCTAAGGAAAAGAATGTCACAGAAGTGAAGCTGTCTTGCCTCACGAAAGGGAAGAGTTGAACTTAAGGATACGAGGAAGGGGCTTGGCATGGGCAATCTGCAACATTTCGTGGTCGTCCATGAGGTCTAGAAAAACTTTGAGTTTTGACTTCTGCAGACTTCAGGAGGACAAAGCCTTGGGAGTAAGAATCCTCAAAGATTTATCTTTATGGAAGCAGAATAGCAAGGCTAGTAATTCCCTGTTATCAGTGAGAGTTTCTAATGGCTTCATTCCCTGTGAGTGGTGAAACTGGGAGTGAGTGATTCCTGGCTATTCCAAAACAGCTGTGATAGGATGTCTCAACAGCAGCATGTGTAGCTGTGCACATATAGAGTGAATGTTCTTTCTATGCTTGGCAGAAAATACTTGACCAAGCTTTCTATAAAATGTGTGTCAAGAAAGATACAACCCACTTGCAAGGCCAACAGCAATGAATCCTTTACAGCTCGGGTGTCAGAGGAGAAGAGATTCCAAAAGAGCCTTTTCAGTGCATAGCAGCAGCACTTCAAGATCCATAATCTTACTGGTTTAGGGTGAGGGATGAGCATCGACTGACGTGCAAAGGAAGAAATCTTCCATTTCTTTGGACAAAATCTGGTGGGTTTTTTGTATGTTAGTTTGGTGTGGAGTAAAAGGTTTTTACTTTACAGTGTATGAAAACCTTTGATCCCAAGACTAAATTATTTTCTATCCTGGATTTTACCAAATAAGGATATTTTTTTCAAGAGGAAGTGTTGTGTTTGCAGCAGGGGGAGCAGAGAACTCCATTTTAAAAGTGTTTATTCCAATGTGCCTGCTGTTGGGGTAGGATGAAAATTTGGGGGAAGTGGGTTCGTGGTGGCGTGCATCAGGGAAACGATGCAATTCCTGCCGCTCGTGCTGAATGAAACTTATCCATCATGCTGGAACGATATCACATGACTGCAATTCACATGGATAATCTGTTGCACGTGTACATTGTGCATCTCTGCATGTGAAATGTGTTGCAGCAAGGTTATCTCTTTATAGTTCTGTACAAAAGTAATAATGTGCGCTCGTGGTGGGTTGCAAATTGTCCTTTTCAGTGAGAAGTGAGTTGTTTTCAGCAGCCTGTTTTTGTAGCTGGATTTCTGAATGCTTCGTAATGACTGCACCAAGCACTGTGGCGTAGTATTAGGTGGCATAATGTTGTGAAATGCCTAGATACTGAACATGGTGGTATTATGTATTTTTGACTTTCTCCGAGAATGGAAGAATAATGCTGAACTCTTCAGGGGGAAGACAGTGACCTTCTGGGGTTGGGTAGCAGAATGCTAGAAAACAAACAAACCAGTTATTCAAAATATTAGAGCAGCCTTGTTACGGAAAAGGCAGTCTGAAGTCATTTACTTGTACCGGAGCCAGCGTAGCCTGTAGTTGTATTGCTGTACCAACAGGAGAGATGTTAAACTTGTTTAAATTTTAACTTGGCATTTTGTGCATCGAGCTAATTTAGCCCTTCAGTGCAGGAGTGGGTGGAATATCCTTCTGAAGAGCGTAGTAATTACTCTAGGAGCAAGTACGCGGCTGGAGAGAACCTTAAGCTGCGTTACAGCGGCAGTTAGCGATGTACTGGCACGAATAGTTGTTCTGGGGCAATGCAATAGTGAATCCTGAGTGTTTGTGGCACAACTCGTTGCATCTGCTCAATCAGCCCATCCCAGTTGGTGAAGGCCGTGCTCCGTGACAGGCAGAGTGGCGTACGTGCAGAAGGCAGGAGGTCTGGGTGCAGCGTAGTCTTTTGGTGTTACAATAAATTTTCAGTCTAGGCCAAATCTCCTTACCCAGGTAAGGGCTTTTCTGTCCTGTTGTGTTGGTGTCGGGGGACCTGCTATTGCAGTCACTCATACTTGATGTGAGGGATTTTCCTTGCTATTAACTATAGCATAAACTTTTTACAGTGTTTGCCTTTTTTTAATGCTGTCTTTTGATACCTCGATGAGAGACACATGTCCCAGCTGAGTAACATCAGTGTTCATTCAGCTGCTCCGGAGATGTCACCTGTCTAGTGATGGAATGGTCATCCTGACAGTTGTTTCATGGCACTGCAGTACCCAGCTGCTGGAGACCGTACTAAAGACATCTCCATGTGTGCTCAGAATCCTGTTATCAGCTTATGCTGGTGCTGATGATCCCTGGATGCCTTCAAGGCCAGGCTTGGTGAGGTTTGGAGGAACCTGGTCTAGTGGAAGGTGTTCCTGTCCATGCCAGGGGAGTCCCCTTCCAACCCACCCCATTCTATGATTTTGTGGTTCTATTTGCCTCCAAGGAAGAGGAGATCTCTGCTTTTCTAGTGCTGGTAGCTGTAGTTGGTGGATCTCAGTTGTTTGAATGGTCTGGATCTATTTTCTGCTTCTGCAGAAGAGAGGGAAAACTGCATATACGCTCTGGGACATATATCGTATCTTTAGCAGGTTGTCTAGTGGTCTGTCTACTGAGAAGACATTGGCAATTACTACTTTCCTTTTTAGGGGTCTTCTGTCTAATGCTTTCGGGTGTTCTCCGAAAATGGTGTGACTTAGCAGCATAAACATTGCTGAAGCACCATACGGAAAATGGAGCAAGAGAAGTTGAAGCCTACTGTCTGCCCACACACTACTGCTCTGCTACTGCGGAGCTGGAGGTGTCAGAAAGTGTTGATTGGGAAAGCCTCTCTCTTTGCACGTGATTGGCACCTTTGTTAGTGACATGGCTGGTGGGATCAAGTGCACCCTCAGCAAGTTTTTCGGTGACACCAAACTGTGTGGTGCAGTG